CTTTTAGGCAGGCCAGGATCGTCATTACAGTTCCAGAATTCAGTGTAAGCAGAGTTTGGATTATTTTCCTCCATCTGCAGCATTGTGACTTGTGCTGAAGTCAATTGAAATTAAAAGCTCCTTTTGTAAACAAGGAATCAGCTGAAAACGTTTTCCCGTTTATTGTGGTGCTTAAGTAGCATTGTTTCTTGGTCTGCTCCCAGTTTAAATGTTTGTTAGCTTAGAGTTTAATTATGTTTTGTTCATTGTGCTGAGAAGGATTTATTGAGCTACATTGAGCAACCCTTAATGGGATCAGCAACTCAGCCCATTGTTGAGCTCATTTCTGCTATATTTCCATTCATTCAAAAAAAGAATTGAAGTAAAATTGGAAGTACGAGTACTGTTGTAATGGAGTTATATTCAGTGTAGTGGTACCTAAGGAGTATTTGTAATGCATTGTAATTGAGTTAGTACATTTAAAGTGTATAGATGTCAAACCTTTTAGAGTTATATGTCTCTATGAACATCTCCAAAGCATTAATCAGCCATTAGCTCGCTTGAAAACATATTCAACATCAGAGAGCAGAAAGAAGGCCAGCTGATGAGAAACAGCATCAGTGTGTTCACCATTTTCCAATTCAATATCCTTGACCAATCTCTAATTTACGTGGAGCGTTCTTGAAATTACAGAATAATCATGATTGACATTAGACATCATCACTCTATAACTATGAAATGAAGATCTGTCAACTTCAATTTCGGTTCTTCCAATCTTACGAAACGTGATCACCAAGTACTAATTTAGTCAAATGCACCTTGTACAAGATGACCTTAACCTCAATCCTACCAACGGGGGTACTGGAAAAACCCAGAGGGTTACTTTTTGATATATCTCACAGGTGCTTTATCCCATTATTCCAAACTTCAAAACGTAAATTAATTTGTTTCCAAATTACTTTATATTATAGTTTTCTCTTTGTTTAAATTACCAATGTTTAGGGTACTAGGGGAAAGGGCTGCACACTAATCAAATAATGAATTCATCTTATTGAAATATCACCATGGACTGTTGCAATCAAATTGCAGGATGCACAAAACAATTGAAAATATGTATGAAAATAAACATTTATAATAAATAATGATAGAGCTGTAGTAGTATCCCGGCCTACAAATCATATTCTACTGACCTAACATAACATACTGTATGTTTGGTACAGATTGTATTTTAAAAATCTTCCTTCCTTCCTTTTAATCTTTAAAGGTTTCAGTGAAGCTTTAACAGTTTAATTGTACATTGAAATAAGTTACAAAAGTTTCCTTGGCCTTACCTTACCTCCACCAGCTTACAAGAAACACATTAGAAGCTATTACCACTAACAAAACATTACATAAATGGCCTTGCCCCACCATTGATCTCAGGTGAGGTTTCCTTACTTCCTGTAAACCCTTTTCACGCCTCTGCTGAAAGAGAACTGAGTCAGTGTAATTTCCTGCATTCAAAAAGGAATCTGCGGCAGGAACTATGTAACAAAGTCTCCAGTCTACTTCAATTTCAAACACTTTCCTTTTCATTGTACACCTCCAGTTTGACCTTACAGAGGCTGCTGTGATGTTAGCAATTCCCTAACACATACGTAGAGCTGGTAATATCACTATAATGCCGTCAGTTACTGTGATGCATAATGTAGGCTTTGTGCATGAGCTTTTAAAAAAAGTTTACAAATCCCAAATATATTAGAAGTTAAGCTCTTTGAGCGTATACATAAAAATCAAATGTTCTATTCAGACCCAAGGGGCGTTGGAATTGCAAAAGAAAAAGTGTGTGTGTGTGTTTATAGTAGCTCAGGTTTTAAAGTTGCGCTAATCAATATGACATATTATAGCGGTTCCCACACTAGAAAACCCCTCAACGCCTGACTATTCAGTAAATCTTAGCTCCAGTGGCGTAACAAGGTTGTGATTGGCCCCGGTGCAAATATTGTTTTGACCTGGGCAGACAGAGACGGACAGATACAGGATTGATTATTTTAGTGACAGGAAATGGACCCACAAACCTTGGAGCGAGCTTCTTTGACAAGACCCTGAGTGACAGATCCTTTGTGGACAACCACACCCGCTGCCCCGGTCTGTATGTAGGTGCCGCCCGCCGCCTTGATCCGCCACCGTCTTCATCCGAGCCGAATTCCTCAGGAGGACCCGACGAGCTGCAGCCCAGACACGGTGGCATCTTCTGATTAAGGCGTGAGCAGATGGCACCACCACCTCCTTCTCAGTTTCTGAGAATAGAGGAGGCTGATAGCCAAAGACACAGTGAAAGGGAGACAGACCGGTAGCAGAGGTGGGCAAAGAGTTGCGTGCATACTCCACCCATGTCAGATGCTCGCTCCAGGTTGCAGGGTTCTGAGAAACCAGGCAGCGCAGGCACGTCTCCAGCTCCTGATTCAGCCGTTCTGTCTGTCCGTTGGACTGGGGATGATAACCTGAGGTGAGGCTGACGGACGCTCCCAGGAGGGTGCAAAACACCTTCCAGAACCTGGAGGAAAACTGAGGACCTCGATCCGACACAATGTCTCTGGGAATACCATGAATACGGACAACATGAGTCAATAACGCCTGAGCAGTCTCTTTAGCTGACGGCAACTTTGGTATGGCAATAAAATGGACCATCTTAGAGAACCTGTCCACTACAGTGAGGACAGTGGTGTTACCCTTGGATGGAGGAAGACCCGGGACAAAATCCAACGAAATGTCAGACCAGGGCCTGCTGGGAACGGGGAGAGGCTGCAGCAGTCCCATCTGTGATTTTGATGACGTCTTGTTCCTGGCACAAACTACACAGGCAGCCACATATTCGAAGACATCCTTAACCAAGGAAGGCCACCAAAACCTCTGTCGAATGACGAATACGGTCCGCTTGACCCCGGGATGACAAGTGAGCAGTAATGTGTGAGACCAATGAATAACCTGTGACCGCATGGATTCAGGCACGAATAGCCTGTCCAATGGACAGCCACTAGGTTTCGGCCCCTCACCATTGACACGTTTCACCTGATCTACTATAGGCCATGTCACCACCCCAACCACACGGGAGAGTGGAAGGATTGGCTCTGGATCCTTGGCCATGGGCTCTGGGTCATGGAGGCGTGAGAGGACGTCAGGTTTGCCATTCTTGGACCCAGGTCTGAAAGACAATGTAAAGTCAAAACGGTTAAAAAAAAGTTGCCACCGGGCCTGGCGTGAGTTCAACCTCTTAGCTTTGCGGATGTATTGAAGGTTCTTGTGGTCGGTCCAAACCAAGAACGGCTGTGGCGCCCCCTCAAGCCAGTGCCTCCACTCCTCCAGAGCCATCTTGACTGCCAACAGCTCTCGGTTTCCGACGTCGTAGTTTCTCTCTGCGGGAGATCATTTGCAAGACAAAAAGGCACAAGGATGCATCTTATGATCCCCAGCCGCTCTCTGTGAGAGAATGGCCCCCACCCCATCATTGGAGGCATCCACCTCCACAACAAACTGTTGTTGAGGATCAGGAACAGTCAGTATGGGAGCTGTGGTAAACCTTCTTTTTAACTCATTAAAAGCCTCCTCGGCCCTGAGGCCCCACACAAAGTTAACCCCTGGTGAGGTCAGTGCATGAAGGGGAGCAGCAACAGAGCTTAAGTTCCTAATAAATCGTCTGTAGAAGTTAGCAAACCCCAAAAACTGCTGTACCTTCTTCCTATTGGTGGGGGTGGCCCAGTCTGCCACTGCACTGACCTTTGCAGGGTCCATCAGGATTTGTCCAGGAGAAATGATGAACCCCAGGAATGAGACAGTTGATGCATGGAACTCACACTTCTCTGCTTTTACGAACAGGTGATTATCCAGTAGGCGCTGTAGTACTTGGTGGACATGTTTCACATGAGTCTCCTTATCAGGAGAGAAGATTAAAATGTCATCACAAAGACAAACACGTTCAAAAACTCCCTGAGTACATCATTGACCAGCGCCTGGAAAACTGCTGGGGCGTTAGTTAACCCGAAAGGCATTACGAGGTACTCGTAATGTCCTGTTGGGGTATTAAATCCAGTTTTCCACTCATCCCCCTCCCTTATTCTTACCAGATGATAAGCGTTGCGTAAATCCAGTTTTGTGAACAATTTAGCATCCTGCAATAGGTCAAAAGCAGAGTCAATGAGAGGGAGGGGGTATCTGTTTTTTACCGTGATGTCATTCAGTGGACTGTAATCGATGCAGGGACGGAGAGAACCATCTTTTTTTCTTCACAAAGAAGAAGCCCGCTCCGGCAGGAGAGGAAGACGGTCGGACGAGTCCTGCCTTGAGTGAGGTGTCGATGTAATCCTTCATGGACCCCTTTTCTGGAGCTGACAGGGAGTACAGACGGCCCTTGGGAATCGTGGATCCTGGCAACAAGTCTATAGCACAATCATAAGGCCGATGGGGTGGTAGTGCACTCGCCCTAGCTTTACTAAAGACTTCCTTTAGATCATGATACCATGTGGGGACCTTTGATAAATCAGGGTAATCAGAAAAATAGTCAGAAAGAGGTTCGTTGTGACAGTCTGCTTAGAAGTGGAGATTTTCCTCAGTATCAACTTACTCTGATCGTGTACACACTTCTGTTTACACAACATTCCCCACTCTTGTACTTTCCCTGACCGCCAATCAATGACAGGATTGTGCAAAAGTAACCAAGGGTAACCTAAAATGATCAGGTGTTGAGTTGATTTAAACACATGAAAAACTATGTTCTCAACATGAGTGTCATTGATTGTCATTTTTACAGGTGTGGTGCAATGAGTCACTGTGAATAGTAGGCGCCCATCTAACGCGTTCGCTTTTAACGGCGAAGGTAATGGCGTCAACGTCAGGTTAAGCCTAAGAGCTAGCTCTTTATCCAAAAAACTCTCATCGGCTCCAGAATCTACAAGTGCCCCCTGTTCAATAACCTGATTATCTTCACATAGCATAACTTGAGTTAATGTGCGTGGAGGGAAGTTAAAAAAGTCAGATTGGCTCACCAGTGTCTTCCCTTTCACCTGTGAGCCTGTTCTTTTACTGGACACATGGCTTGTTGATGCCCCTGTTGACCGCAGTAGAAACATCTTGCCTCCACTAGGCGGCGACGTCGTTCCTCCGGTGAGATTCTGGCCCTGCCGAGCTGCATCGGCTCCTCCGAGTCAATGGGGGGCGTTGTGGCCTCTGAAGCAGGTGACGAGCCGAATGATGTCCTCCGGACAGGATGAACAGCTGTTGAGAACCCTCTGGTTCCGCTGGACGAAACGGCAGTCTTCTTTCTTTCTCTATCTCTCTCTCACAGATGCGATTGTCATTCTTAATAGCAGCCGCTACCATACTTTCTAAGTCTGTGGGAGGATCCATAAGTAAAAAATGATCCTTAATTTTCTCTGATAGTACGTTCCGAAATGTGTTCCTTAACGCGAATCATTCCAATCGCAATCAATAGCCATAGTGCGGAACTCAATTGCATAATCCGCCACTCGGCGTTGATTTTGCTGAATGTATGTCAAATTCTGTGCGCTCTCTACAGCTGGTGTGTGATGTGCAAACACTCTTTTAAACGAGTGGATGAACTGAGAGACAGAGTTGCAAGTTGCAGAATTGTTCTCCCACTCCGCCGTAGCCCATGCAGCCGCACGGCCGGACAGATGAGAAATGATAAATGCAATCTGAGCATAATCAGAGCTATATATGTAGGGCATTAACTTAAAGTGTAGATCACACTGAGTCAGAAAGGATCTACAGTCATTGGAATCTCCGGAAAACTTATCTGGAGGGGCCAAGCGAGGCAACGGGACAGCATGAGATCCAGGAAGCGGCGCCGCTGTAGTAGGGGGGGGCTGCCAGCTGTTGAGGATGAGCCGCAGCATCAGGTAATGCCGGAGCAGTGGAACCGGCGTCCAGGCGTGCCAGCACACGATGCACCGCCTCCGCCATGTCGCTGATTTGGGTGTTGACCGAGGCTTGGAGTCCATGTTGCTGCTCCGCCAGGTCCCTCACTGCCTGGTGTATGCAGGGGCGGATCTACCGGGGTGGCATGGGGTGGCAACTGCCACCCTAAACAATAGCCTTGCCACCCCAGCTGCCACCCCAGTTGGCATCTTTGTTTTGAAAGAAAAGTTGTTGCTCATCGGACATTTATGAGAGAAAGTCTCTAATGTCCGAGTGCAAGTGAATGCAGCACAAGATGCACGTCATGTAACCCCTCCCCCGGTCCTGGCGCGAAAGAGGAAATGTGATTGGTGGCGAATTCATTTGAACGGGACGGCGCAAAACGAGAAGCCTTTCGGACCCAAGCACTGAAGGAATGAGGTAGTTGCGGTCTACAATGACAGAGAAGAGAATGTCAAGTTTTGCTGTACTCAGCATTGAATCAAAACGCACTACAGCTGTTGATCTTAATACATTTGTGAGGCGTTTTGCTGAACAAGATAGTAAGCGCCGCATTCAGCTGTAATAGACATGCCAACTTGATGCTCTGCTCACGGATGACTCGATGAGAATAACAAACTGTAACTTAAGATGATGACCTTGTATGCGTGTATATATTTTTTTCTTCAATTTTAAGTCCTGAAAAAGTAAAATAAGACGGTGTGTAAAACTACACTGCCCAGCCAACAGAAAGTAACCACTTTGATTTAACTAGGCCAGTAGGTAAGGACCTTCCACTGGATAATAACTGCAGCGATGTTTTAGCTGAATACACGTTTTTTAACCCTAACTGATGCAGTTAGTCACTTCTTTAATGTTTGTTCTTTCTGATGTAAAGTCAAGGTTGTAACTGTATATCAATAATGATATAATTACTTGTTTTTCAAATTTGAAGGAGGGTGAGCAAGCATCTTGATGAACATTCATCATTAACTCCTCCAAAAAATAAATATAGTTTATTCAATAATAAATGAATATGTGAATCATAACAGTTCTTCACTATATCTGTAAAGCGTCTTTGAGCACCTGTAAAAACGCTAACAAATTAAATCTATTATTATTATTATTATTTATTATTATTATTTATTATTTATTTATACAGCTGATAGGAATAATATGATTGTTAATAGTATCATATTCATTCAGACAAACATCGATGAGACAGTTAATTAATGTACTTATTGCAGCAGTCTGTATATATTTGGTACCCCTGCTGGTCTAAGAGTGAGACAAACTCATTCAGTTATTGTTCAGTTAAAATTCATTAAATTACGTCTGCCACCTTATATGTAAGGCTTTACTGATGTGCCACAATAATATCACCTATGTGATTGAGTTAAAATATTAATATTGTGGCTTTCCAAGTTAACATTGATTGTAGGGGTGTAACGGTTCACAAACATTTCGGTTCGGTACGTACCTCGTTTTTAGGTCACGGTTCGGTTCGGTACGTTTTCGGTACAGCAGAAAAATTATCACAAAACATTAAAACATTTTTTTTATTATTATTAAACTGTGACTAATGTATTCAAATAAATACAAAATATAGTAAAATAAACATTAAGGTGCAGCATTTCGATGAACTGAAATAATCTGTATTTGAACTGTACTAGTACCTAAGCAGCCAGCTTGACATTAGGACTTGCTTGTCATTGTATTTTCATGTTGTTTAAAGAAAGATTAACTTGTCCACATTGCTTGCTGAAATGGCAGATCTGCTGGCACTAACAATGTCTCCTGCTGTGGAGAAACACCCTCTCTAGGGACAAGAGGTACCACAGCCAGATAGCGCTTTGCTAACATGGCAACATAAGGATATTTGGCGTTTGTAATAGCTTTGGCTCGGTCTGAACTTTCTGCGAGTGGTGGAGGCTTACATGCTAGTGGGAGTTGGGTTTGCACTTCAGTCTTTTTTCTTTTGGTACCGGTGATATTCACATTCGGGTGATGCCTTTTCAAATGAGTGTGATGTATTGCCAGCCGCGTAACCAATGTTAGTTGAACAATACCGACAAACAGCTTTGGTTCGGTCCACCTGTCTTTGTCCGTCATCCTTGTATGTAACTGCGAAACCAAAATGTTCCCAAACCGGAGACTTCAATGATGCTGTAGGATTTTCAGCTCAACTTTATCTGCGTTCGCCATTTCGACAGTTCCTCAAATTACTGACTACATTTGAACGCATCCCTGTGACCAGCTCTCATAGTATGCCTCTCGTCCAATGAAATTACTTGGTCGCTCTATGATATATATACCTGAGATTACTTCCAGAAAGTTGTTCATGTTCTCAATTTTGTTAAGTTTAACGCTATATTCGTTCGGTACACACGTGTACCGAACCGAAGGGCCCGTACCGAATAATTTCAGTACGGGTACGTGTACCGTTACACCCCTAATTGATTGATATGATTGCGATTTAAATCAGCATATACTTCTGTCAGGGGATGCCACCCCTCAAAATCTCTTGCCACCCCATGAATATTTGTCTAGATCCGCCCCTGGGTGTATGACAGAGACTTCTCCTCATGATGGTGTAGATGTTCGCCCTGAAGTCGTATCGCTGTTTTAAACTGGTTCTTGCATCTGCTAATTCCATGTTTTGGCCAGATTGTACTGTTAGGGCTGTACAAGGGCGTGGAACCAAATGCACGATGCAGAGACAAACAAAGTATCAAAATAAAGTGTTTTAATGTAGACAGGTCATAACACACTGAATACATAAAGCAACAAAACAAAAACTACTAATACACTAATCTAACTCTATGGACGATAACTCTATGGACAATGACAAAAGGATCTTACGCTGGAAGGCTTGGAACACACAAGACAATCTGGCAACGAGACAGGGGAAGACGAGAACTATTCTAGACAGACAACACCAGGTGAAGACAATTAGACAATCACAACCGTGGGAAAACAGACAAGGCAGGAAATGTACTTTAGACACATGAGGGTAGACAAGACTATCAAAAATAAAACAGGAACCTATCTAAACACATAACATGAAACCTAAACTAGTGAACAATCTTAGCAGAGCCGTCTACGCACAACAATACACAACCACTCAGAAGCGCCACATGTAGGCTATCAACAACAGCCTGCCCTGGCCTCAGACCATCACAGCCTGACACACAGCGAACTAAGAAGAGGATTACACCTGTTTCCTTGATGTTTGTCTCTGGGGAATGGGCCGGTAGGCCTACATGGACCGGTTGCTATAATATAGCTGTTGATCTTGGCGTCGGGGGTCTCAATAGCGCCATAGAGTCCCCTATCGATTGGGGCCCTTGGGGGAACTGTTGGACCACTGCCGGGCACAGCCAAATCCAGCCTCTCCTCCTGGCTGGCTGGAGAAGAAGGTCGCACAGCCACGGCCATGGATACAGCTTCACTTGTGGAGCTAGATGGCAATGATGGTGGTGAGCTATCGTTAGCCTCCGGCTGCCGCTGCACGTCAACATTGCTAACATTAGCGCTCGATTTCGAGGACGATGTATGACAAAAAAAACTGTCTAATTTCGTCAGTTTAGCTGTTACATCTCCTTGTTCTCTCTTGTCCTTTCTCTTTTGAGCGCTGCTCTTGTGCTTTGGTTTGCTGTACATTATAAATGCAAGATATTACATTTTCTATAATGCTACTGTATGATGATTAAACGATTCGCTCGTCATGCAAGGTATCACATGTCATGAAAGGGAGCAAGGTCATTGGACAGACAAATTACAAATTAATTTAGGTTGCTTGATCACTTTGAAGACTGTGTGAACTGGTCAATGCCATTGTTACGACCCTGGGTCGTTAGGTCATTTGTTTGTGTGTGTGTGTGTGTGTGTGTGTGTGTGTGTGTGTGTGTGTGTGGTGTTGTGTGTGTGTGTGTGTGGTGTGTGTGTGTGTGTGTGTGTGTGTGTGTGTGTGTGTGTAAGCAAGCAGGTGGTGCCCGTTAGCTGATTAGCTACCCTCGTCAGGCTGATTGGTCCACCTGAGGAGACGGGAGCATTTTAAGCTGAAGCCGTACAGTTCCTCGGCCGCTCTCTCTGCCTCAACTTATCCTACTCCCAACTCTGCGCGTGTTAAGATCTTTGTCCTGTTGTGCTGCGTACTGACATTTTACCATATACCGGTCCTTCTCTTCTGCTGTGAGACGGTGCAAGAAAAGCTGTTTAACCTGTCTTGGTAGACACGACTTATTTTACTCAGGAGTGCAAAACCCTTTTCTTTGGTTAATTCATTTTCTCCTGTTTAATGTTAGAGTAGGTAAGAAGCCTGTACGTTTATTTTTCTCATTTGTTAGGTAAGATTTTTGTGTTAAAGGTTAGTTTGTTTTGTGGTTTTGTTACTCCTGTTTGTTATTTTTGTAAACAGACTTTCAGCATGTTTTTGTGATTCTGATTTGGTAATTAAATTACCAAACGTTTTCTCTGCCTTGGCGTCCATGTTCTTGGGAGTGGGGAGAGTGCAACTTTGTGCTGCGCCTAGGTTCCCTAGGCCTGGGCGTAACACCATTGGGGCTCCAAAATAAAAATAAATATATATAAAAAACATTTTCTTTTTTCTTGCATGGGACCCTGGCCGGCTCTGGGCGTTGCACCGTCGATAGTTACGCCACTGCTTAGCTCAATGAAGCCATCTGTTAATTTAGCTATAATTCTTATTTGGTATATGGATTTTACTGTTTTGGCTCAGTTGCATTATGCTCACTTTCATAATTTAAGGCAGTAGCAGTCAGTTCTCTACAGCAAAAAAGCTTTTAAAACTCTGCGCTAATTGCCAAGCCTCAAATTGCAAGCATAGACAACGTCTGCAGCTAGCTAGTGAAAACAGTGGAGTAGAGAGAGGCAGCCATTTTTCTCAAGAGTTAGTTTATACCAAAACAAATACTCAGAAAAGAGAAAACTGGACTTACCTGAAACACAACTCAAAACAAAACACTAATGTAGCTATTGAGCTAATATGATGCTACATTTGAAGTAGACCTGCAAGTGTTGTCTTTAAAGCTGAGCTTACTCTACTGCCAACAGTTCGAGCATTATTTTTTTTTAAGCATGGTTTGAACTACAGTAAACTTTCAAAGTGTAGATAGGAAGAGAAAAGGAGACTTGCATTCAGCATGATGAAGGCAGCCCAAAGCAGCTAGTCCAAAAAGGGAATGTCAGGGAGGGTTA